GAGGCCTTGCCCAAAAAGAGGGTTATCTTCAGGTGGCTGAAATCCATCTTCACAGAAAAGTTTCCCAAGGCAAAGGCCCAGAAGACTTGTAAAGTTACCCATATATATATGTGTGTGTGTGTGTATATATACCTATGCATATGTATATACATATATATTTTTTTAACAGTCTCACTCTGTTGCCCAGGTTAGAGTGCCCTGGCATCAACCTAGCTCACAGCAACCTCAAACTCGTGGGATCAAGTGATCCTCCTGCCTCAGCCTCCTGAGTAGCTGAGATTATAGGCCCCCATCACAATGCCCAGCTAATTTTTCTATTTTTAGTAGATATGGGATCTCACTCTTGCTCAGGCTGGTCTTGAACTCCTGTATTCAAGGGATCCTCCTGCCTTGGCCTCCCACACACATGAGCCACGGCACCCAGCCCCCACATGTTATTTAGGTTGCCCAGTGCTTTAGTAGGAGAATCCTCTTCATGAGATTCTCTGATCCCCTTCCCATTCTTCTCCAGGATGTTTTGGCTAGGAATGAAGAAACTGAGTCTTCTGGGAGTTAGCAGTAGAAGCTAAGCGCAAGCTTGAGGCTAGGAGTTTGAGACCCGCCTGGGCAACAGAGAGTCTTGGCTTCAGCTAATAACCCCCAGAAGTCTCATTTTCTTCATTCCAAGTGACTCCTGGGCAATTTCCCAGCTGCTATTCCCAACAGCCCAAGGAGATGGGTCCACGACCCCACAGGACAGAAGGGGAAGCTGAGCCCCAGAGCTGATTAGGTGCCTGAGTCAAAACGCAAGCCCAGCGGGGCCTTCAAAGCCATGAGCTCTTTCCATCCTTCCACTCCGCCTCCCACAGATTTAGACAGATTCAGACTGTCACCCGCACCAGAGCTGAAGACATTTTCCTTGACAATTATGAGGTTCAAAGAAGCAAGACAGGATTTTCCAGACGGCTGAGCAGTCAGTCGGGTATAACAAGGTGTGAGTAACCACATTCACGTGGGTTGAGGAATGAGCCAGCAGTGGGCAGTGCATACCGCCCCCTCAGCCACTGGCTGGCCCTGACTGGGTCCCCAACCCTCCTCTCCTCAGTCTCCTTATTTAGCCAACAAGGTGGTTGGAATAAAGACTGCTGAGGTCTCTTCCAACTCTGGCATTCTATGAATGTGGGGATATTCCTGGAAATTTTGTCACTGGCTTTTCTCATTTGTAATTTTTGGCTCAGAGGAAATAAGTACTCACTCCTCTCCCTATTTGCAGCCCCACTGATGTTAGAGGCATCTTTTAAAATTGATAAAGGTGCTGCGTGTGGAGTGCTGGGGTGGTGGGAAATGGAGAGTAATTGTTTAAAGAGTATGGGTTTAAATAAAACAAAATAAAATATGTTTTTTAAAAAGCTGGGTGCAGACTGAGCGTAGGAGCTCACAACTGCAATCCTAGCACTTTGGGAGGCTGAGGCAGGAGGATCACTCAAGGCCAAGTGTTCAAGACCAGCCTGGGCAACACAGTGAGACCTCTGTTTCTAACTAATTAATTAATTAATTAAAGGGCACGGGGTTTTAGGGGGGGTGTTCCACTACATTGGGAATGTGCTAAATGCTATTGAACTGTGTAATTTAAAATGGTTAACTTTCTAGGATATAAATTTCACTTCAATTTTTAAAATTGAATATTGCTGGGTATGGCAGCTCACACCTGTAATCCCAGCTCTGAGATCCCAGGCTAAGACAAGTGGATAGCTTGAGCTCAGGAGTTCGAGACCAGCCTGAGCAAGAGTGAGACCCCCGTCTCTACTAAAATTGGAAAGAATAGCCAGGCGTCATGGCAGGCACTTGAAGTCCCAGCTACTCGGGTATTCTCATTTCTAATTTGAGGCTGAGGCAAGAGGATTGCTTGAACCCAGGAGTTTGAAGTTGCTGTGAGCTATAACACCACAGCACTCTACCCAAGACAACAAAGTGAGACTCTCTCCCAAAAAAAGTGAGTAATGTTACTCTCACTCTTAAAACCCTTTCATGATTCTGTATTTCTTTAGAATTAAGGCCAAAATCAATCGTCTAGAAAAAAAGACCTTGGAGCACTGACCCATCTCTCTCTATTCTTCTTGGTTGCCCCAAGTCTGGACACAGAGACAACAGGGCAGCTCCAGGGGACAGCTCCCCCTCTCTGGTCTTCCCACTCCTGCCAAGCTGCTGTCCTGGCCAAGAACCTCTTCCTTGCAAATCCCTGGCTGTCTCCTCATTCTTCAAAACCCAAACCACCTCCAGGAAGCCTGTTTGCACCAACCAATGCAGTAGCCACTAGCCACTACTGAGCCCTTGAAACGTAGCTGGTATAACCAAGGCATTGAACTTTAATCAAATTTTAATTTTAATTGGCCATGTGTGGCTAGTGCCAGGCATATCAGACAGTGTAATTCTAAACAGGTGGTTCTCAAATTTTAAACTGGCATCAACATGACCTGAAGGACTGGTTAAAACACAAGTTAGGCCGGGCACAGTGGCTCACATCTGTAATCTCAGCAGTTTGAGAGGCCGAGGTGAGAGAATCATTTGAGGCAAGGAATTCAAGAACAACCTAGGTAACACTGCAAGATTTATATCTACAAAAATTAAGAAAAATGATCCAGGTTTGGTGGTACATGCCTGTAATTCCAGCTACTTAGGAGGCTGAAGCATAAGAATCACTTGAACCCAGGAGTTCAAAGCTACAGTGAGCTCTGATCACACCACTGCACTCTAGTCTGAGCAACAGAGCAAGACCCTGTGTTGTGGAAAACACACACACACACGCACACAGATTGCTGGACTCCATCCCCAGAATTCTGATTCAGTAGGTCTGGGGTGAGGCCCTAGAATCTGCATTCCCAACAAGTTCTCAGGTGGTGCTGGTCCAGGGACCACATTTTAATAACTACTTGTCTCCAGTTGAAAGTTCTTGACTCAAGTGATTCTGGACTCATGGTCTAGAGGAGCATGTTCTAGATTGGTGGTCCCTGGAGCTAGCTGGACAGGAGGGAAAACCCAGCCCCCCAATTTAAAATTCTGCGATAAAAACCAAAAAGAATAGAATAGAATATAGGGATGGCGCCTGTGGCTCAAGGAGTAGGGTGCTGCCCCATATACCAGAGGTGGTGGGTTCAAACCGGTCCCAGCCAAAAACTGCAAAAAAAAAAAAAAAAGAATAGAATAGAATAGAAGCAGAGCAGAACAAAACAAAATTAAATTAAATAATTAAAATAAAATAAAATTCTGTCATACACATTCTTCAGTGGGAGTGATCTTGCCATGTCCATATCTGAACCCTTTGGATAAAAGCACCTTCTAAAATCATTTTAATTTTTTATGATACAGATAATACAAGTTTGTTTGTTTGTTTTGAGTACAGTCTCAAGCTGTCGCCCTGGGTAGAGTGCTGTGGCATCACAGCTCACAGCAACCTCAAACTCTTGGGCTTAAGCAATCCTCTTGCCTCAGCCTCCCAAGTGGCTGGGACTACAGGCTATTTTTTTGTTGCAGTTGTCATTGTTGTTTAGCTGGCCCGGGCCAGGTTTGAACCCACCAACCCATGGTTCACACCTATAATCCTAACACTATGGGAGACCCAAGTGGGAGGATCCTTTTTGCTCATGAGTTTTAGACCAGCATGAGCAAGAGTGAGAGCCCCATCTCTAATAAAAATTAAAAACTAATCGGGCATAGTGGCAGGCACCTGTGATCTCAGCTACTCTGGGGGCTGAGGCTGAAGGATTGTTCGAGCCCAACAGTTTGAGGTTGCTGTGAGCTATGATGGTGCTGCAGCACTCTAGCCCAGGAGACAGAGTGAGACCATGTCTCCCCCATCCCCCTGAAAACAAAAGCAAATTATACAAGTTTATTATGGGTGGGAACATCACATTTAAACCCTCCCCCTTCACCTGCCCAGAGACAATTACTGACAAACTTTCGTTACCTTTTGTATACTCTCTTGAGATTTTTCTGAGAATATATATGCTTTTTTTATATAATAAAACCATATTTTACATATTGTTTTGCAACCTACTTTATATGCCAAAAATATTTCATATAAATGTTTACAAGTCAATAAATAAGCATCATTTTAGTGATTCTTTGGTATTCCTTTAAATGGATGTGTCGTATTTCTTCAAGCATTCCCATCTTGCTGGACACTTAGGTTACATCCAACTATTTAAAAAAACAAAAAAAACCTACCACAATGAGCACCATTGTATATATACATCACTGTGCACTTAGCTAATCGACAAATTCTTCCAGGAGGAAGGGATGCATCAAAAGGCACATGTATTTTTCAAACCTTTGCCCCATGTGCCCAATTGTCCCCAGCATGGGTGCTCTGTCAGAAAGTGGGTCCTTATGGGGAAGTTCTCCCAGAGCAGATGAGAGCTCAGCTGGAAGCTGAAGGACGTTTTAATAGAGGCAGAGGCAGCTGTGAGAGGCAGTATGGTGCAATCAGGAGAGCTTCGGTGGCAAGCCTGGCTCCATCCTCACAAACTGTGTGACCTGGGGCAAGCTCCTTAACCTCTCTGAGCCACACTCTAGCCACGTTCTCTCTTCATTTGTAAGTGGAGCTTACACTACCAACCTGTCACTGTTGTAAGATTTAGAGATAATGTACATAGAAACCTTGCATAGTTGTGCATTAATATTTCTTGGATGGATGAAATGATTTAATGAATGGATGGGTAGAAGGATCTTTAAAAAGAAAAAAAGAAAAGAAAAGAAAGAAAGAATGGAGAGCAAGGGAGCAGGTTATTTGCTGAAAGGACTGGCTTGCTGGGGAGAGGGCTGGCTGCCTTAGGGGAGTCCTAGGACAAAGGCATGGTCGAGATCACGCAGACACCTTCTCTCCATCACAGCTTGGTTCTTCTTCTCTGGATGCTGGTGGCTGCTGGGCAACTGTGTCCCTGCTTCATGGTGATGCCCATGAGGCCTGGATATAAGGTGGCCCTCCCAGGGGCAGATGCGCCAACCCCAGCTGAGTCCCCTACCTTGACGAGTTTGCCACGACCCAACAAAGGGACCCACGCTGCCCGCCAGCTCACACTTCTGAGCCCAAGGACCATTGTCTCCTAGAAACCAAAAACAGCAAATAGCATATAGGTCAACCCCAGACAGAAAAAGGGCCTGTAACAACAAACATGATTCCTACCCTTGAAGGACTCCCCTTGATAGGAGGCCTATCTCTGCCAGCCTTTCAGAGAGGGGTGGGCTCTTTCTGCTCCAATCTACCCTCATGAGCCTCTCCCCCTCTATACCTTTGCTTTTTACATAGTATTAGCAACCCTATGACCACCGTCATGGGCATCAGCCCAGCAACTATTTATGGAGCACCTGTTACATACCCTGTGCCACACATATGCCATCTCATAATCCTGTGACACACTATGGAAGAGATTCCATTATTAGCTCAAAATTGTAGACAAGGAGACAAAAGCTTGGAGAGATGAAGGTAGCTCTCCCAGTAGTATAGATTCAAACCCAGGTCTCCAATTGACTCAAAAGCAGTGCTGTTAACCACTGCCCTGGCTCCAGACAGGAAGTCCAGATATGCAATGCATGATGGGCCCTTTAAAGGGGTCACCATTTCAGCTCACTACGGCCATTCAGCCAAAAGAAGTGACCTGTGACTGGTGGCAACCAAAGTCTTTGGGACCAGGGATGAGGGTGAAGAGGGAAATCTTAGACCTGCCGGAGAACTACACAGATTCACAATGTCAAAGTCATTCATTAGCAATTAAGAGCAATACCCAGAGAGCCCCAATCAATACATAAGAGGCCAGCAAGGTGCCTGATCTGGCTGTGCAAACCTGTCCAGGAACTCAGTCTTGACGGCTCCAATGGACACATGCTCAGCATTCAAGTTAATTATCAGGGCCCCAAGCTCGACAAAGATTATTACTTAGCCAGACTCTGTTCTTTAGGGAGCATGAGTACAGTGTTATCCATTAGACCATAGTTAGGCTGGCTGGCCTTTACTACTTTACCTGTAAACCACAGGAATGTGTTTTCTTTGGCTGTGCAGTCAACTTTGTCCTTGATCTGGCCCACCAAGCTGTCCATCTCTTGAAGATTCTCTTCATATAGCCTTTGGCCCCTTGGGGCTCCAGGCCTTTGGGTCATAGATAAGGGCACGTGCATGTGGGCCAAGGCCACATAGAGCAGGAAGGGTCTTCCGCTGGTGCTGGAATGGGAAAGCCAAGAGGTGACTCTGCAGAAGGCCCTCCTGGCCTGTCACAGCATCTCTGTGATCCTCCCTCACCTTGGGGAAAACTCCCAGACCCATTCTGCCCCACCGACTCGGGAAGGACTCATTCATCTACAGCCTTCCAGGGAAATGGGGGAATAATCTTGTTAACCAGTTAAAAATAAGAACCACTGTAATGTAATCACTGTCCTCTTGACCATTTACCGAGAGCTTATTACATGGGACTCACGTTGTCTAAGTTCATCCTCATGGAGATCCCTGAGTTTCCATTTCGAGATGAAGAATCAGAAGCACAGAGATTAAAAGTCTTGCCCCACTTTATGCAACTAGTGTCAGACTCTGGATTTAAACTCAGACGTGGAAGTAAAGCCCTTGCTCCTAACCAGTGTGCTCTATAGAGTCTAAGGCACACATATTTTAAAATTGTACCTGCTATTTTGTAGCGTCTAGACCATCATGTCCACTGCCAGCCTCATTCCTTTCTAAGAGATGAATGTTTGGCTCAAGTTGACCACGGGGAATTCCAAGGGCACACAGGACCACCAGGTAACACCTAGACCACGGCTCTGCCAGGGAAGCAGGTGCCCGGCTGCCTCTTTACTAACCTTGGTTCCCCTGGATAAATTTAGAATGAAAGGTTTGGCGAGAGCCCGGTGGCCTCTGTTCCCACTCAGAAAGCTTCCAGTCAGTCCCCCAGCCTCATTCCCAGGCGAGGGCAGTTGCAGAACAGCGGCAGCAGCAGGGACCTTGACGGAGGGCCCTCCCTCCCAGACCACACCCATGGGGGGCATCTTTCAGAGACCACTGGGTAGGGACCGTGGGTGAGCTCAGGCAAGTATGAAAGAGCGCGCTCAACTACGTCACCAGCGGTTCTGCTTTCTGATTGGCCACGGTGTTTTTCGTTTCTGCTTTCTGATTGGCCGCAGTGCTCTCCTTAGCTCACCCTGCGTGACACCACCTGCCGGCACCCCAGCCCTGCATCAGGGCTCCAGGGGATCCTAATGGGGCCTGGCTTGCATGCAGTTCCCTTTGATGGCATGAAATCCAGTATACAAGTCCCAAGACAAGGACCTCCACCTTCCCCATTTTAATCAATAGTTTCTTGACGACATGTTTAGAGTTGAGTTGTCCAGTACAGCAGCCATGAGTCACATGTGGCTCTTTAGATTAAAGTTAAGGAAAAGTAAATCAAATTTAAAATTCCATGCCTCACAGGCTACCATACGGATAACCCCAGGACATTATTCTAAGTGAAAGAAGCCAGTCCCCCAAGGACAAACACTGTGATTCCACCTGCATGAGGTACCTAGACTGGTCAAGTTCAGACACCAAAGATGGGACAGTGGGTGGCTGGGGACAGGGTTAGATGGTGGGGGAGGAACAGAGATGGGAGAGTTAGTGTTTAATGAGGACAGAGATTCAATTAGGGAAGAAGAAAAAGTTCTGGAGATGAATTGTTGCAAAACAATGTGTGTGAATAAACTCATTTGCCATGAAACTGTACATTTAAAATAGTTAAGATGGTAAATATATATATACACACACACACACATATACACCTATAATAAAACAATACACAAACATATATACTCATAAATTCAGTGTCTCAGTTGAGCTCCAGAGTAAGTCTTTAGTCCCAGCTACTCAGGAGGTTGAAGTGAAAGGATCACTTGAGCCCAGGAGTTTGAGACCAGTCTGGGCAACACAGTGAGATCCCATCTCTAAAATACATGAATAAATTCCATGTCTGCACATTCCAAATGCTTGGTGATATCTGCTTGGTGGTTTGAAATCAGCCACAATGAGGGTATTTACACCACAGAAATTGGCAAATGCTACAGACTGGGGCTGTTTTCTCTGAGACCTGGTTCTTAATAATTTACTAGCTCACTATTACATACAGGGTCCCATAGCCCACCCTTCATCACCATCCCAGCATCATCCTCCAAATTCCACCCCATCATCAAAGTCCTGTTAGCATCCTGGGCCAGAAGCTCAAAGAGGTGTGGGGTGCTGAGAGAGAGCAAAGCAGAATAATGAGAAACACTGGCTGGGAAGACCTCTACCCAAATCCCAAGATTTTTCATGTCACGGCTATACAACCCTAGGCAATTAACTACTATCATCTATAAAATAGTGACAATCATATCTTCCCAACAAGGTGGTTGTGATTATTAACTGCCTAGAGTAAGCACTTCATAGACAGCTTTTTTACTAATAATTTTGAATACTACATGCCAGCAGTAGTGAGCGGTAATGGTACCCAAGGATGAACCTCTTTCCCTGAATCCTGATGCCAGGCTAGAATTCATAAAGAAGGCATCAGGTAGAGCCCACACAGACTAGTCCCCTGGGGGCATCTGTCCCCAGCCACCTCTTTATTACATGTGCTGAGTGGAAGCCGGACAAGAGAGAGCCAGTGCTGGGGGGGGGGGGGAGAAGCTGATTATAAGACAATGTGATTCTACCTTTATTTTTAAAATACATTAATTTCAATAACACTTTTAAAAAACTGGAGGGAAAGATGTTTACACACCAGCAGGGAAGAAACCAGAGAACCGATTCAGATCTATGAAAAGGGTCTCTCTCTTTAGGGTGATTTTGTTTGTTTGTTTGCTTATCTCTATTTCCAGAGATTTCTAGAAAGAATGTACATTATTTTTATGGCAAAATAAGGGGAGTAGTGAGCAGAGAGGGAAACAAAACAAACAAAACCAAGCTGCCGGAGGAGACATTCCAGGAGAGGGAAAGAGAGGGTGGGAGAGGGCGGCAAGGTGCGCTGGAGATTATGACTCAGGGACAGCCAAGTTTGGAGGAAATCATCTGGTCTGACGTGGAAAAGGGCAGATGAGGGGTATCCACCTCTCAATAAGAGTCCCCAGGTAGTGCCGAATGGAGAGAAGCAGGCCTAGGGGTGAAAGCAGGGAGAAGCAGGCAGCTCTGGGCCCTCTGTCCTCTCTGGTCATGGCCCCCTGGGGACAGACAGACAAGAGGTCTCTCTGGAACGGACTGCTGCAATGGCTACTTGCCCCCCACCCACACATGATGCCATCTCCCTCAAGCCCTTGGACCCACAGGCTTGATCTGACAGTTCCCCATTTGGAAAACCCAAGTACCAGGAGGTTAACAACTACATGCTCAAAATTCAAGTAAAGGAGTGGGAGGGAGGGGCTGGGTGAATTCCCACTCAGTGGGTACACGGCACGGGCACACTGCACACTCCCTGGGTGAAGGGGCCGACCACCACCCAGACTTCAACTTCACAAAAGGAAACTATGCAACCTAATTGTATGTTCCCCCATATTAGTCCAAAATTTTAAAAATTAAAAAAAGAAACCTCCTGGGGCTCACTGCAGCCTGTGGGGTCAGTCAGTCCAAGCTCCCCACACAGCCCTCCCCAACTGGGTCCCTTCCAGCCTTACCATCCTGCTCATTCTAAGGCTCTTCGTAGGTGCCAGCGCCCCACACACCTCGCCCACCTCCCACGCCTTGCCCATCCTGCTCCCGTCCTGGCAGCGTCCTCCCTGGTATCTTGCCTAAAACCACCCAATTCTTAGGCTCAATGCAAAAGGCACCAACACTCCTCCTCTGCTCTCCCATTTCTCCCTTTTTTCTGCTCCCACCCCCCGCCACAGCCCTTTCTCCCCTTTTTTCTTACAGTATTGATAAGACACAAATCACCTGCCAGGTTTTTACGTACCTGTTTCTCCACTAACCCTAAGGAAACAGTCTAATTCATGTTTGTGTCCCCAGCATAACACTGGCACATCTCTGGGGCTGGACAAAGGAACTCACTCCATAAATACTTATTAAGCTCTGGCTGGGCCCCCAGGCACTGGCGACAGAAAGATAAGCCTTCTTGGAGCTTAAAGTCTAATTGGAAATGGGAGAGAGAAAAATGCAACTGAAAACTAAATGAGATGATTATTCACAAATTGCGTATAGGCTGAGCACTACAAATCTGAAAATCCAAAATGCTCCCAAATCCAAAATGTTCTGAGCACTGACATGACACTCAAAGGCAATGCTCACTGGAGCATTTCAGATTTTGGATTTTCACATGTGGGAAGTTCTACAGATAAGGATGATGTAAATATTTCAAAATTCGTAAACATCCAGACTCTGAAACACTTCTGCTCCAAAGCAGCTCAGATAAAGGATATGCAACACGCCGGGGAGAAGCACAGGGGTCTGTGAAAGGTGAAACAGGGACCCAGACGGGCCTAGAGTGCAGGGGGAGGGAGATCCCTGAAGGGCCAGCAGCTGCAGGAGGGCTGTGCTTGGTGGCCATTGAAGGCAGAGGGCACAGCATGGGGGCAGATGTTAGATACGATAGCATAGCTAGTCATTATTCTCTCATTCCACTGCATACTGGCTGTCAAACAGGAAAAAGAAGAAAGAAGGGGCTTGGAGTGATTATGGTCTTGGAGCTGAATCCAGATCCCCAATGCAGGTGGCAGTTAGGAGGGACTGAGGATGAGGAGTGGAGAGCACCCAGTGGGAGCACTTAGACAAGCAAGGTGGAGATCCTGAGCCAGTGCTCACCCCATACCCAATTCCCGCATGGGCCTGTCAGACCGGGGGATCCCCTTGTCAGGTGCAATGCACAGCCCCACACCTACAAAGAACAGAGGCCTGACCAGCTCTGGGACCCAGAATCCATGCCACCTACTCACTCCTCTATTTTCCTACTCAGAGCTTTGTTTGCTGCTTTATTTTTTTTTTATTTTTTATTTTTCTGAGACAGAGCCTCAAGCTGTCCCCCTGGGTAGAGTGCTGTGGCATCACAGCTCACAGCAACCTCCAACTCCTGGGCTCAAGCGAGTCTCCCAAGTAGCTGGGACTACAGGCGCCCACCACAACACCCGGCTATTTTTGGGTTGCAGCCATCATTGTTGTTTTGCGAGCCCAGGCTGGATTTGAACCCACCACCTTAGGTGTATGTGGCTGGCGCCTTAGCCACTTGAGCCACAGGCACCAAGCTGTTTGCTGCTTTAAAAACCCTAATCAAGAATGTTTTCGGTACTGATGCTAGATTAGGGTCTAAACTCAGGCAGGGCATGGTGACCCAAGCCTGTAATCCTAGCAGTTTGGGAGGTCAAGGTGGGGGATTACTTGCGGCCAGGAGTTCAAACACTCTGAGCAACATAGCAAGACCTTGTCTCTACAAAAAATTTAAAAATTAGCTGGTGTGGGGTGGCACCCATAGCTCAGTGGGTAGGGTGCCGGCCACATACACCAAGGCTGGCAGGTTCGAACCCAGCCCAGGCCAGCTAAAAACAATGACAA